TTTCATCAACAGGAAGGTCCAACCCTAATTAACTCCCTAATAGGGTTTATAATGTTATATTTATACCATAATTTGTAAAAAGGTATGTCAGATAGTCTATCTTACCCAGGGGAATCAAATTACCACCCCTGTTTCATAAACCAAATATTTTGTTTCCATTCATTTTTTGCGTATATAAAATGTACATCACGCAACGGCTATAAGTTTAATAAAAATAAATTATTTATCTACCGGGTCTTCAATAATACCCAAAAACCACTTGATCTGGTAACATAAAAAAACGTAACAGAAACTAAACCGCCAATCTTTAATTTTAGATGGTTTTAATAAAATTAAATTGACATGGTCTATTTATTTATTCTGTAATCTGTGCAAAAATTGAATAATTTCTACATCTCGATGTAGAAAAAATTATAATTAATGTTGCTCATGGGTAAATCGTTTTATTTTTTGTTGTCTTTACAATGTTATCATGTCGCAAATAAATATCTATATTTTTTTAGATAACATCAACAGATATTAAATACTTTACCTCTAACAATGTAAAATACGGTTTCCTAGAACGTCTGTTTTTTTTATTATTTTATTTCATCAATAAAAATAAAACGAATTATAAATACTTATAATATTAATTAAATAATATTTACTGAACCCAGTATATATAAATTAATATTCAGGAACAGAATCATTTAAATATAAACCTACCTACAAACTCTTTTATTTTTACGTTTGGTATTCTATCTCTTTGATTCTATGATATTATAAAAACCTAAAATGATCCAATAGAACAATGAACCTCGAAAAAAAAATCGGTTGAGTGAATATACAGAAACGTACTGGGCTTTTTGATTGTTTCTGTTGCTAACGTACATTGATATTAAAATGTATTATATATCAAGTATGCTTAATAATAAGTGTTTTACTATATCTTATAAATTATTTAGAAATGCTATGAAATAAATACAATTCGTTGACAGATATGATAGATATCAGCTATAAAATCAGTTTTAAATAATGAATAAGTTACTTACTTTTATAAATAAATAAGGACATTGGTAAGTTAGTTTAATAGGCGCTATGGATGAAGACAAAGAATCATTAATTTCAATTTTTTATCAAAATGTTAGAGGTCTCAATACCAAAATTAATGTGCCGAATCAAAATCTATTAAATTCCGAAAGTGATATAATTTGTTCAACGGAAACTTGGCTTTCATCATCAATATCTAATGAAGAAATGTCTACAACATACAAAATATATCGTCGCGATATATCAAGCTCTTCAAACAAATTGTGTGGTGGAGGTGTTTTAATGTCAGTGTCAAATGACATTTTTAGTTTCTCTGAGAACTGGTGGACCTCTGAGGCTGAGGATGTTTGGGTCACCGTTATACCCATAGATATATAACCAAGAGTTATACCGAACCGCGGAAAATGATACAAGGTTCATATTTGTTGTGTTTACATACCTCTCAAAGACAGGGTGGCACTAAATTTATTTTGCACTAAATTTCTTCATATTTTTCTAAGTAACATAAATGATTACTATATCATTTGTAGCGATTTTAATTTTCCACAAATCAAGGGGATTAAAGAAACTATCGATAATTACTACAAACCAAACAATTATAGAGATCCCAGTTCTGTATTATTGGTGGACACATCTCTGGTGGATACCATGTCCTTGGCTGGTATATATCAATACAATTAACCTAACCTGTTAACCTAAGCGGTAACACTTTAGATCTTGTTTTAAATAATAATTTTCTAATAAAAAATAAAAAGTCGTCTACTTTATCACCGGTTGCTGAGGATCCATCACTTAATATTCTAGAATTTGATATTAAATATTCTAATGTAACGAAAACAAAAGTAAATAATCATTATGAAAAAAACTTAAATTAAGCAAACTACACTGAAATAAATCATCTTCTATCTGCAATTGACTGAATAAATTTAGACCTATAGCAAAACTTAACTTATTAAGTAAACTGTTGGAAAGTTTAATTTTTAATTTTCTAATTTGTGATGTTAATAATATTCTTAACATTGAACAACATTGTTTTATTAAAAAACGATCGGTTGAAACTAATTTATTTGCTTATGCTGAATATATATTGAAAAATGTTTGTATAATATTTTTTCTGTATGGATTTATTGCAACTGGTCTGACTTACAATTTTGTTTTAATTTTTTAAAACTAGAATACTAACTTAAGATGAACCGTTGAAGTTAATCTATAGTTTGTTCGTTGTCATATCCTACTGTAATAATTGATTTGTGGTATATCGCAGCATCACAGGTAAAGCAAGTTACCTTATGGAAAATTCACTGTCACCAGTTGCGAAAAGAAAACAAACAAAAATAAACCATTTTTGATGTCTAAATCTTTCACATTCATATGACAGTAACTATACCGTTATTTTTTTTTTCACTGAAAAGTTTTTTCAAGTGATTTGAGATCAGTTTCTTCCATTCGCATTGAGTCACTGGTCAAGTTAAAAATGAAAAGAAGAAGAAATATCACACAGTTTGTGTGATATTTTTTAAAAAGGCAAAGTAGTAATAAAGGCATAGAAAATTATTACTTTATCGGCATAAAATAAAACATAAAAGGTAAAAATCGTGTTTTTCATGGTAAAACAGAAAGTTATGTGGATAAATGATAGTGTCCTATTTTTTATTTAGAAGAACATACCTGTCATATTTCGTAATTGTTTTATTGCTAATGTGATAATATTTATCGAATTTTTTTTCACATTTCTATATATAGATCAAGTAACGAAATTGAAGTTAATTGACAAGAACATGTCAATAGTTTAGAATCAATAGTAATACCGTAATACGTATTTCATTTAATATTTAATAATTGAATAGTCCCTAGTAAAAAAGCAAAATGGATGACAATTAACACAAAAAAGATATTTAAAAAACAATAACTAGATGAAGACGTTGGACTTAAATACTCAAAGCTCAAATTTGTAATTTATGATTTTACACCATCCTGATATTTTACTAATATTTTTTAATAAGAAATATTTTAATATCTGCTAATTAAGATAAACATAAAATAATCATTATTTTTCTGACAGCATCTGACTCTCCTATAATACAAACAGTTTACTTAATAAAATAATTATTCATCCATATATTATCTCTTGATATTATTACGTTAAAGTAAATAAAATTGAACATATTGTTATTAAAAATAAACATTATTAATTTGTAATATTTATTTAGAATAACCGAGTTATATGATAATATTCCCGCAAAATGTATACAAAAGATAAACGAATTTATTTTTTATATTATTATTGTTACATGGAAATATTATGAAGTAGAAGAAATAAAAGATAAATCCTTCATAGCTAATATACGGGGAAAGTTAAAGAATATTTGAAAAGTATGATAAAATAGTGAATGGAAAAATTGTGTCTGAACTAACAGCTCGTGCAAATAAAAAAAGAAAACAGTTTTAGGAAAGAAAATTATAGATGTAGAGGTGAACATAAAAAAATGTGTAATCTGATATATAATAAAAATGACTATGCATGTGAAAACTAAATTGTAATGAAAAAGAAAGAAAGTAATACTAAAACTGCCGACTTGCATCCTAGAGAGAACAGGTAGATTTTTTACCGTCCCAGGACCTCTAAATTGTATTCCATTGATCTCTTTTATTTTAACAGCAAAACTAATATAATATGCTATAATAACCGACAGCGTTGTCACGTTTACCATAAGAAATTATTTTTCTCTTTAATATTATAAATACAATTAATGTACATTAAAAACAGAATTGGACCAAGTATCGTTCCTTGAGGCACATCCCTAGAAACGGTCATTGGGTACTGAGTAGGTTACCAATTCTAACTGGTTTCTCTGTGAATGATAGTCCCTAAAAATATACAACGTTAATCCTCTTATTCCTATTCTTTCTAATAACAATCTGTGATCAACAGTGTCAAATGACTTAGCTAAGTCTAAAAACATCGCTAGACATTTTTTATTGTCATCAATACTATTAATAATATTTTGCACAAAGTCTAGAAGCGCATCTTGACAAAGGTTTTTTCTAGGTAAATAAATTCGACTAACCTTTTTTTTAAACATTGCTCAAAAAGTTTTGAAATATTTATGACTGATATAGGCTTGTAGTTAGTGGCTAGTTCTTTTTTCCAGATTTTTAGAAAGGTGTTATTACAGATTGGTATTTTGCAAGTCGTTAATATTTGATTAAAAATATGTGCCAAGGAGTTTAAGATGTAAGTGTGTATATTTTTAATTGTAGCTGCCGATAATCCATCCAAACCACTTGCCGATTTATTTTTTATAGAAATAGAAATAGAATGTATTCATCTTTGCTTTAGTTTTATTACATTTAACTTTTCTCCCTTTTAATTTGTGATATTGTATTGTCCCAATTTTTTTTATAATTATTTTTTGCTTTTGTAATTTCAGATTGGTAGTAATTATTTTTCATTTCTTTAAATAATTTGGTTAAAAAATTTTGATACATTTTATATTCTTGCAGAAGTTTAGTATTATTTTTATTTTTGAGACATTGTTTTTTAAAGTAATCTCTACGTATTATAGATTTAATTATGCCCAAAGTATTCCACGGTTTGGTCTTATAATTTTTATTATTATTTATTTTAATCTGTTAAATATTTTTACTAATATGTTCTTTAAGTAGTTTAATAAATTCATTATAGCTTTATTCAGTATCACTACTGTTAGAAACGTTGGTCCATCGCATATATCCACTCAAACAATTGTATAATATAATAAAAGAAAAATAATGCCTATTAATATCAATAAATAAATAAATAAATAGTAAAAGTAAACAGTATTTACGGTTAGGGCATACATCCAAAATCAACCAGTACTTTCAGAATTATCCTGTATATTTCAAATTAGCTTTAAATTTAAAAATTCCACTTTGTAACAATATCGGTTATCTCCTTATCAATCTCAAACAAAATAAGATAAAACACTTACCTGTTGGATTTTCAATTTTTGTAGAAAAATCCAAATCCATACCAATTTCATAATTATCAACGCAATGTGCACCGTTTACGAAACTTTTTCCATCAGGGCAACACTTTTTAACACACCGCATATTGTCACAAATATCGCCATCTTCAGTACATTGTCTCCTAACAAAACCGCTGGAGGTTTCGTCAAAGCAATAACCATCTTCAGGAATAACTTGGTTGTCCAAGGTGGTTAAAAGATTGTCTGCTACAATGTGGCATTGGGGCAAACCAACTTTTATTAATTTTCGATTTATAAAACCATGCTCGAAATTATTTTTGGGATCGCAAGAATGTTTTATCGGGTTGTACATGTATCCAATTGGGCAGCATTTCGGATAAAAATCTTCAATTAGTTGTGTTTTTCCAATGATTTTCTGATCGGAAAATTGAAACTCGTAAAAATCTGTGCTGTAATCCAAACAACTTCCGGTGGGGTTATTTTTTATAAAGTTAATAACCGGAACGAAAACACTTTTTCTCTTGGTGCTGTCATCGATGCAAGCGAACGTTGCATTTTTATATTCGTATAAAATTTGACCAAAGTCGCAGCATTTTCCTAAGCCATCGGGGGCGGCTTGGGAATTTATTACAGAAACCAAAATAAATGGTAATATCGTTGAATAATAACGGCGCATTTTTTAAATTGAATTTTTCCGCCGCGAAAACATTGTTAATTATTTCGAATGATTCGTATCCGAATAATCGAGGAGAGCTCGCGGTTTTTTCTACCGGCAAACTGAGAGGAGTGAGTGTAGGATTATTAGACAGCGCGACATCAGTTATAGAGTTGGTTTGTTTGAATTACAGGACCGCACTGTCCGTATTATTATGTGCAGAAGGCGCCGCCGTTTACTAAATTAAGAGCAAACCGGACAAAAATGTTAGGATTTTCTAATATAAAATTGTATTTATAGGTGCGCCACTGAGAATACTTCACGGTGTTATGTATCTCGAGAATATTGAGAGCTTAAAATTTGTGGTACGATAAGAGAGCACTCTAGAAAAATATTTAAGAAAAAATCTGGGAAACTATTGATAAATGCAGATATCAATATGAAATAACTTTATTAGAATTTATATAAAAATATATATGTGACAAATATAAAAAAAGTATGGCAACTACTTCAGCTAAAAAGACAGTAAAACACAACTAGCAACGTAGTATGGAGTGAAAGTATGGTTATGTTGTAGTTGACGGGTCTAGAAATGCGCGCGTTCACACCACTCTGCACTGACGTCTAGAATTTGAATTTGCACAAGCCACGTTGCCAAATCTCCACTTTAATTTCAGCTTGTTTTATTTTATAGTTTATTTTTCAACCAAATTGTAACCTCTGTACATTAAAATGATAAATAAATATAAAGATTTATATTATATTTTGAAATAACAATTCTGTTTTGTTTTATAAGACAGTTTTGATAGATTTTAGATTTAAATTTTGTAATTATCACTATTGAAAGGTATTATTCACATTAAAAAACGATAGTATTACTTGAAAATCTTCAGAACATTTTTTTATTTTTATGGGTTTTTTAATCGATGTAAAAATTGGTAAATATGATTAAAAGTAAAATAGTTATTTCAATCTGCTTATTCCCTGGTTCCAAATAATTAAATATAACCTGGCAACTCCGTAACGATTCCGACTGGCAGAACTAGCCGGAACAGGAATGGTACGCACTGGCCCATTTCCAGACCCTTCAACTGCAACATAACCGAAATTATTAAAACAACATTGAATGTTTTATCTCAAAAGAAACTAAAAAATGTTTACAAAAAATAATCAAGGATTCTACACTCCAAGTTTTGTTACTATTGGTATTTTCTGAAAATTGTACTAAAATCGAACTAAAAATAAAGACTCAAAAGGAATTATAAATTTTTAACGTTTTCGGTTTGCTTATCGAGTTGAAGATGACTATTCGCGATTCAAGCTAAGTGATACGCCCTCTGGAGGTAATTTGTAGAAAGTCCATATAAGTAGGATATCGTTCAGTGTTGCCAGAAGTAGCAAAACTTCGCTACGTCGTCGAATTTTAGCTCTTGAAGAAGTGGATAAGACCTTTTATTTAAAAATCAAAACTTTTGTCAGGTAATATGTAATCATACTCTATATTTATTTAAGGATTTTTTTATAAAACCGATTTATTATATTGACTTTTTAAAAATTTCAGTTCATTTATTAATTTTGTTTTAAAATCAGTTCATTTGGCAACATTGGCGTTCGTGTTCATTGTTTACATTTTAATTTGTATCAATTACAATTCGAGTTTTTTTCTTACTTTTTAGCTTTAAATTTGTTTATTTCTTATAGTATGTGATAGTGTTTATATTAAAAATGAAATCTGCGAAAAAGTCCCCAGAAAATTGCAATCTATATGGTGTTAATGTCAAAGTCAAAACTGAAGTATTCATTATTTTCAAAGTGCACAAGTCGTAAAATTTTGTTTTTTGCGATAAATGGATATCTACAAATTCACAATATTGAAATTTTACAAAACTTTGTTTAGAATCAAACTGTAATCTGATTTGTGACGGTTTTATTACCATTTACATGTATACAAAGTACTACATGATTCACTTCATAATACAATAATAAGTCTAGTAAGATTTTTAAATAAGTTCATCAATAATAAACGTGCGGTACCTGAAATGTCCTTTAAACCACATAATAAAACATATCCTGGGTTTAGTGAATACATATTTGTAGATGTTCTTGTAGCAACCAACAGGTGAATATTTCCAACAAATAAGTCATACACATATCTACATCTAGCACACGTCTAGGCATTTTTAAAATTTCCACTAAATTTACAATATACATACAATGTCAACACTTGCAAAGAATCAATTCAACTACAATATTTGTAACAAATTTAGTACCTACCCTAATGTTATTTTAATTTAAATCTGACCATTAGGGCAATTTTTCCTAATTTCTTGGGAAGGAGCTTATTGAAACTGGTTGTCAATGACTAATTTGCATAATTTTGTTAATCCGAAACCCGCGTAAGTATAGCGAACAGACTGTAAATAGAATTTTAAATTGAATGACACTAAGTAGAGGAATTATTTCGATAATTATTATATACATCAGGAACCAACCAATCAAAGAAGCTAGACACATGGATAGATTTAAATTTACCAAAAAGATATATTTGATTATTTATTATTTTATAGGGATATATACAGGGTGTTTCATTAGAAATGGGACACAGAACAACTGAAGATTCTTTGATTGAAAATGATTAAACGAAACATGCTTAGATAAAACTGGGTTCCATAATAGAAAGTGTTAAAATTGAAAAATCAAAAATTACTGATGGCCGTAATTTTTTTATTTGTCAGTATAATTGTACTAAATTTAGTAAACATTTTTGTTGTTATTATGATTGGACTTATTTCGTTTATTTTATTTTCACGAGTCCACCAATCTTCTATTAGTTTCTCGCACTTGGATATACAGTTCCGCCACACTTCTGGAATTGCAATTGAAAGTGCTTTTCGTCAAGTTTCCCAAACTGCGTCGTCACTATAACCATTAGGCCCAATGTGGTTGGACTAACAGTAAAACTTTGCCAGTGACCCACTCTTATCGCGACACTCTGTATCTAAAATGGTACTTGTACTTAATAGACTTTTAAATATTTAAATAAATTATTGTCAAAGTTACAATATTTCTGAAATTTTTTGATTTTTTTTCAAGAAAGACAGATTTTTAAAATCGGTACTATTTAGGTACATAAAAATCCTGTCACGAAGATAAGCATAAACAAATCTACACTAGGATCCATATGATTATTACCGGTTAAATAAACACTTTCAGAATATAATTAAAAAATATATATATATATATATATATATATATATATATATATATATATATATATATATATATATATATATATATATAATACATATATAAGACATATTGTCGTGTAATCACCTAAAGCCGACCCTGTTGTGATACAATGATATATATAGTTTATAGAGACTGCTCATCCATACGTAAATAAAATGATGAAAAACAGGTCAAACTGGAAGATGTTTTCTCTTTGTCTAGTACATGCAATGTTTACGTTTTGTCTCAATTGTGAGTACTCCCTGGTAAACAAACCTTTTACAGAACCGGTTTAAAAGAAAGTTTAATCTAGTTGAGATTTTGTTGTGATTGTCATTGCTCAGACGAAGATTTTGTTAAATTGTTTATTTTAAATGTAATTATTTTACAACTGGATACTCGTAGTTTTATGATTCATATTATGATTATCCTGACTTACCATAAAGTTAAAAAAGATTTAAAAATTAACATTTTTTAACAGTAAAGAAATTTATGGTATAGAAATTAAGTTAAAAAATCAATTACTTTGACAAGTAATTTGACAGAATACGAATGTGTATGTATATAAAGATATATGGAATATTATTTATTTCATAATACTTCATCTAATTTGTTTCTATATTAATCTAATAATCCATATCTTATCAGAAAAATAGTCAATCTAATCCAAAAGTGTTTGCAAATAACATTATTACTTAATTAGAAGGGTCGCTTTGAATTAAATACGTCTGAAAATGTTATAAAGAAAATATATTTTTTCCTGCATAAACGATTTCTGACCAAATATTGTTCAAGAAATGCACAGTAACAGTAAAACATGAAAATGAAAATTGGACAGTAATCAAAACAAAAACAACAGGAAAAGAAGAGGGAAGACTGGTAAATGAGAACCAACACAGGAATATAAATGCTATATGGAGAACCAAAGATGGTAAGGGTATACAGAAAAGAATAAGGGGACAATCTTGGAAAAGTATGCTTGAAAGAAAGATGTCTGACTTTAAAAGCAAATAAAAATACAAAACTGAAAAGAGAACACCAAGAATATATGAAAATTACTGCCCGATATAGGTCTACAAGGCTATCAAAATATCCCCCTTCTGCTTCTTCTTTTTTCTCTTCTTATTCTGCCATTACAGGCATCGAAAAAGATTCTTTGAGCAAGGACAACTTTATAAATGCATCAAATATATAATCATTTAATAACTAATTAAATTACATTCCTTTTATGACTTGCAAATAATATTTAATAAAAAATAAAAACAGTAAGAACGTATATAACAAATATTACGTCACACTTTTATGGTACATTATCGTGAGTGAAAATATGTCATTTTACTAAAAAAATCAAAGAACAATAATAATTCGCAAGGTATACGAACTGGCACAAAACTTAAACCACAACGAAAAAGTGACAGATTCGATGAACAACATATTTATTTGTATTTTATTTAATATCTTTTAGAATATAAAAAATTGCGTTGGTAAAAAAACTATAGTGTATAACCCACTTTTCTTCCTTGTATAGCAGCTTGTGCAACTAACAAAATATCAGTTGTATATTTAATGAATTATTCTGTCGTGTAATATTCTTTTTTGAAGTTTATTCTATTTTAAAAAGATTTACTCCTACATGGGAAGAATATATTTCCATGATTATACTCCTATTTGCAATATTATCTATATTTCCATGATATTGAAGCTAATTTGTTATTTTTTGTCGTAAAAGTCGTACTTTCTTGGACCATTATTTTTTCTGACGGTATATGTTTCCCTTTCTAATTGTTTCTTAGTATTTACATAAACATGCCATTCCCAGTTTCCAAACATTTTCGCTAAATTTCTGTTTTAATAATTTAGAGTGTATAGGTTTCACAAAAATATTTATTTACAACATAATCAAAATAGAGATTTTACAAAAATTGTTCAAAATGTTCACCATTTTCACGCATACAAAGAT